AGGTAAAAAACTCCTGCAGTGTCATTTTAAGCGGAATGCTGATTTTCTTTGCCTCAGTTCTCCCATATTGACTCCGATTGAAGTTTTCACGTTGACAGAAAGCGATGTGCGAGTTCCAGGGGTCAGCTGTTGTCCTGAGGAGCTTTTCTATATATGATAACTTTTAAGGAAGCTGAAGCAAATACGATTTTCAAGCAGCCAAAGAATTGGGGGGGGGGGGGGGAGGAAGGGGGGAGAGAAAGGCAAAGCTTATAGCCTGCAATCGCGCTGCTGCAAGATTCACGGATGGTATTTGGCCTCAAATGAATCTTTCCCCATATTTATTTACTTTAAGAGACAATCCTGGAATAAACAGAGGCATCTGGGGGATCAGGAAATATTTCGCAGCCGCTTCGGAGAGTCTGCTTTAGATTCATTCAATCTATTGTGTACAATTTTTTTTCCCTCTTCTTTCTTTTTAAGGAAAGGAGGGGTGAAGAAGGAACAAAAGAAAGAGAGAAAGAACTTGGGCAGGCGAAAGAGAAGAGGAAGGGAATGGAAAGGGACAAAGAAAGGGGGGCAAAGGGAACTTTATTCCGGGTTAAGGCTGAAAATGCAGGCGGGGAGTGGGAGCTGGAGCTGCCTCAGAGGGTTACTTTCGTTTCGCTTCTGGAGAGAGATGAAGGCAGCACCGCCCTTCCCTGCTCCCCCAAAGCAGGGGCTGGAGGTGCGCGGCGGGGCCGGGGCGGGGGAAGAGGGAGCCAAGAAACCACCGATTTCTGTTTTAATCCGAACTTGACAGTGTTAATTGAACCGAGGGGATGCGGATGGTTTGTCTTTTTTCTCCCCTCTCCATTTCGCTGCTTGGCTGGGGTTGGGGGGGTGGGGGGGGACGGGACGGGACACGACGACGGAGCCACAGTGCGTACCCACAGCCCCCCCCCGCCCCCCGAGCCCCTACCGCCACCCCCCGGCCCGTCTGCGGTTCCGGGGCCGCCCCCACCGGGAACTCCGGGCTCCGGCCCTGGGCTGCCCCGGCGGGCAGCAGCGCCGCAGCCCCGCTCCGCTCCGGGGGAAGGCAGGCTGCTGGCGGTGCTCGGGCCTGGAGCGGCAGCGGGGAGCCGGGGAACCCCCCCTAAGGACCGGGGACCGCGGGCTGCCCTTCCCTTCCCACCTCCTTTTGAGAAAAACATGAATAAAAACATTAAAAAGCAAGAAAAAAAAAAACCAAGAAAACAGTGTCAACCCAGCAGGAAGCTATCCAATACTTGGGATTTTTTACCCCCTTTTTTTTTAATTTCCTCCCTCTTCTGTCCCTCTTTTTTTTTTCTTCTTTTTTTTTTCTTTTTTTTTTATTAGGGTTATTTTTTTGTCTCCCTTCCTTCCAATCAGGGGAGAATTTCTCAAAGCGAAAGCAAAAGATCTGGAAGTGAGGAAAGAGCCTGGTTTGCGTGCACAGGGATGCAGCTCGGGCTGAGCACACGCAGCACTTGCAAGGAGCAGGGCGAATATGGGAAGCCTTGAGCTCCGAAAAGGTGTCAGAAGTCAACCAGCCAGGACAGTGCTCAGACAAAGGCTTCATTTTCTGTAACCTCCTAATTTGCGACTCGACTTTCCTTTTATTTGAATCATTTATTTACCATTTTAATTCTCCATCAGGGGAAAAAATAACAATATAAAGACTCACACGGCTTGTGGACTGCTAGTGTTCAGTTTTGCTTAATGCAGTTAAGTTTCTTTCCCCCGCAGATTCAAAAGGGGAGGTGAGAGGAAAAGATATTAGCCTGCCTGGAAGGGATGTGATAGTTTGCCATCATTTCAGAAGAGGTAATCTCCCATTAAACAAGTACCGGAGCTTTTGTGGAGGCATAGGAGTCTAGCTGGAGCGTGCATAAAACCTTGTAGCTGCTGAATTCAATGGCAAGGCGTGTTTTAAATCCAGCCTGGATATTTGCTTGGAGACACTGCTGCTGAAAAAGAAGACTATTTCAGGATCTTGCTGTATTTGCCCTGCACTCTGAGTGGACTTTATTCACATAACTTTGCGTTCATCCATGGGGATGGTTTCATGTCGAGATAACCGTGAAAGGACAGTATTTTATGGGGGTTCACATCGTGTTTAAATTTTAGGGGAGGGCAATGTTCACATCGTGTCGCGGGATTCTGCAGCTAAACCTGGAGAAACATTGTCTTAAGCCGTGTCTTTAGTCTTAAGCGTGTCTTTAGTTCGCTTTAAGGTGAACTGTCTCCATCTCTGCTTTGTACTGCTTAATTCTCAGAGCCCAGCAGCCCCTGAATGAAAGGGCTTTGCCATACAAACTCTCTCTTATGGTTTTATTATTATTTAAGATCCCACGACTATCTGGGGAGTGAGTAATTCCGTGTGCTGCAGGTTTCCGGGCGAATAAAAGAAATCTTTGCCAGATATGTTTGCCTTTGTGTAGCACCAAACATACACCATCCACGACTAATTTAGTGACCTTGCCTGCTTGCATTAAGGTGACAAAAACTGCTGCTACTTATTATAGCTGCGTGGCTTTGGTATTTTCTGCTCGTTTTGCGGTTCGTCTGTGGCATATTCTGACATTATTACTATTTTTGTGGCCCTGGAAAACCTCCCCCCCTGACTCTGCTTTTCAGTGCTTCTCTCCCTCTGCATGCTCAGTCTTTCCTTTCCCTCTCCCTCCTTCCCTTTCTGCCTCTTTTTCCTTCCTCCCTCACCCCTTCTGCATATACATCTGCAGACGACCCTTCTTTTGTAAGGACTTTCTTCAAAATATCCCACTAAAGTAGGAAAGCCACGCTGCTTTTTCCCCTCCACATGTCACAGCCCACTATATTAGCAGCCCTGCAGAGTAAGTATATTTAAAAGAGGAATAGATAAAAGAATGATGAGGATATACATATATATATTATTATTTTTTTTCCTCTCGAACATAAAAATAAGCGTCACTGGAGACTGGTGATTGACAGATAAATGGGTCTCGATAAAGGCCAAAGAAGACATTCTGCTCCTGCAGGAATATTTCCCTTTAAGGGCTCACATAAAGCAGGAGACTTAAAACGGAATGAGGAATAAATTCGGGGGAGGAGGGGGGGGGGAGCGAGTCGATGACTTTTCGAATTTGGAAAATCCAGAGTCCCTTGGCAAACACCTCCCGTCATATTTTTCTTCTAAAGCCTTCCCTGGTTTTCGAGAGGGAAACCCTGTTTCTACCAGCAGCCCTGGGCATTCCATTTGGATTTATTTCATTATTTTAGTATTTTTTTTCCTGGAGCCCTATGGATTGAGGTGCAGGGGTTTACCCTGGCTCAGCTGAGGGGGTAAGTTTGTAGGGGCTGGGGAAGATGGGGGGGGTGTCTCCTGGCAGCATCACTTCTCCTTGCCTGCTCAGCCCTGAATCTGCCTTAATCTCTTTTCTCCTCCTGCTCGCATTTCCCATGCAACTTACTGAAGGGGGGAGAAAAAAGCCACAAGCCCAAACTCCCAGGACCAGAAGCGGTTTCTGCCGTGTCCGTCCTTGGGACTTGGCCGGGCTGTGCGGAGCGCCTGTCACTGGGGAAGGCTGCCTCACTGGAGACTCCCTGCCCACCCCCGGCAGGAGCCCTCAGCGCGTCCTCAGCCTCCACTTTGCCTCCTTCCGCCGAATTTTGACCATTTCCCTCCATGTCCTCCCAGCCCTAGAACCCCGAGGTGATGGAGAGCCCTGGAGAGCCCATAATAGCCATATTTTGAGGGGGGCTCGCTTTCTAAAAATGATAACGAGAGGTTATTTTTTGTTAGGCATCTTCTTTATCTTTTTTCCAGAGCAATCTCCTAACTCCCTTCTTCCAGACTCCAATGGGCGTGAGCTATTTACCTACCTGTCTTTCCTTACAAAGGAAAGGTTATTCTCTCAAAATGCAGGCAGGCTATCACGGAATTTTTAATGCTCCCAACTTCTTCAAGCGGTTTTGGTGCAAAAAAAAAAAGGAAAAGTTTCCAGGCGTTAAGAAAAAAAAGAAAAAAAAAACCCACAAAAAAATAAAAAAAAATCAGGACAATCATGTGCCCACCACACGTTGTTGCTTCCTCCTGATACACGCAAGCTCTCCCATCCTCAGCTCTACAGCTGAAACTCAGTCCTACGGTTTTATTTAATGAACGACACGTTTATGAACAATCAAATGATCCTCGTAAAAATTTTATTGAAGGACATAAAAACATCCACGACTACTTGCCGAATAATGCAGCCTTTCACTGCAAAAGCCCAGTCTTTCCTTCCCCCCCCCCCCCTTTTTCTTTGGGGGGGGGGTGTGTTAATATTATTTCCCCCTCCTCTTTGCAAAGATGCTCCTCATACTGTGTCTAGATTATTTTCTCTCCTCCTGAAGACACTTATTGCTCAAAACAGGACTAGATGTGCCTGTGCCCCACAGACTTCTCAGCTGCTGAGCAGCCTGACGATGAGACAGCGCTGCAAAAGATGACAAAAGCCCCTTTTGCTTTTAGGCTAAAAGCTTCTTCCTCCCCCCCCCCCCCCGCCCCAGCTCCTTTCTCCAAGTGGGGAGCCCACCTCCACCGCACTTCTCACTTCCCCCCTCTCCCCTTCCCACAGATATTCAATTTAATGTATCCATTAGAGGCTAGGAGCTGCAGAAGGAAAGGACAGAGACAAATTACGTCAAGAAATAGTTCCTGGACTACCTTCCACAATTACCTTCCACCTTCCTCAGCACCAGGGCAAAGCTTCCCCCCACCCTCCAAGCCCGTAAAGAGCATCCCCCGGCGGGGACCGGCCGAGCCTCCCTCCTCCCCATCCCCGCCCCGTTTCCAGCGCTTTTAGGAAAAGCCGGGTCGCCTTATTAAAAAAATAAATAAATAAATTTAAAAAAAAAAAAAAAAGGAGAGAGGAAGAAAAAAAAAAAAAAAAAAAAAAAAGACCTGCGGATTGATCCACGCTATATTTTTGGGTAAATACAATCACGTGAGGGCGGGCAGCCAATGGCACACTGGGAAAGGCTGAAAAAATAATTACCTGCCCTGATTGTTCTATGAGAAGATAAAAAGTACACATACAGTTCATACAATAATCTTATGAATGTAAAAGAGGGGGGAACCATGTCGGCTTCTGGCCCCATAAGCAACTACTATGTTGACTCCTTGATAAGCCACGAGAACGAAGAGCTCTTGGCCTCCAGGTTCCCCGGCTCTGCCTCCCACCCGGCTGCCGCCCGACCGTCAGGATTAGTCCCGGACTGTGCCGACTTCCCGTCCTGCAGTTTCGCCCCCAAGCCGGCCGTTTTCACCACCTCGTGGGCTCCCGTCCACTCCCAGTCCTCCGTGGGCTACCACCCCTACGCCCCGCAGGCGCCCGTGGGGGCCGAGCCCAGGTACATGCGGACTTGGCTGGAGCCCCTCGCCGGGGCCGTCTCCTTCCCGGCCTTCGCCCCCGGGGCTCGCCCCTACGGCCTCAAGCCCGACGCCTTCCCGGGGCGGCGGGCAGAGTGCGGCCCCGCCGACGGCCGCGGCTACGCGGACTACATGTACGCGGCTCCGGGGGAGCTGAGAGACAGAGCAGCGCAGACAATTCCTTCCCCGGAGTCCGAAGCCATCGCTTCCAGCAAACACAAAGAAGAAAAGCACGAATTAGACCCTAGTAAGTCGAAGTCATTCTTGTTTACGACCGGGGAGGCATTACGGCTTCCAGGACCCTACTCAATAAAATGAAATTACCTTAGAGAGCCCGACCCTAAAACTCCAGATACGCAGGAAGATCTGGGGGTTTGGGCGAGTCCGCCTAGCAGAGCCGGAGAGCGAATATCTCGACTTTGTTTTGGGCTCTTTAGTCTTTTTTTTTTCCCCCTTTTTCCCTTTTTTTTTCCCTTTTAAAGATTTCCTTGCAAGGGGAGGGGGGCGGCTGTTGCCTTCTTTGGTCAAATATTCACCACCTTCCACCAGGGAGAATGAAAAAATAGCTAAATATATAAATATATATATATATATAAAAAAGGAGAGTGCGTGTGTGAGAGGCAGCGAGAGGGGGGTAGGCAGGAGGAGGAAGCTCTTCCCTTTCAAATATTCCCACTTTCAAAGAACAAGGAAGAGTTGTAGCTGGCTGGAAGTGAACGTCTTGATGTGGGTTTATTTCTTTTGGGGGGGAGGGTTAAGGGCTTTCTCTGGATAAATGCAGAGGTGTCTCTTTATCTATTTTTTAAATCAATAAAAGCTCCACCGGTGCAATTATTCATAAAATGCTCTAACACGTGGGAATAAATGAAAAGGTGGGTGCCCAGGGCGAGGGTGGGGGCCGTGTGTGTGTGTGCAAGGGAGAAAGAGGAAAATTGGGAATTGTAAAGGCATAAAGTAAGTGCGTGGAGGTAGCTGAGGGCAAAAGGCAGCAAGCGCAGGACATTGGACCATACACTTGAAGAAACATCTTTTGCAGCCCAAGGGAGAGGGGGAGGGAGGGAGGGGAGTGAAAACTCAAAAAGACAAAAAGGAGGGAAAGAAAACCTAATCCAGGCATCAGGAAACCTTGAACATTGTAGGGACAGGAGTCAGGTAACTGCCACCATCACCCTCACCTCCAGCCTGCAGCGTAGGGAGCCTGGACCCCGGCTCTGCAGAGGGGACCAGCTCCGGAGTGGTGCAGCCAGGAGGTCAGCTCTGATCCTGGGATGAATAAGAACACAGAAAACCCCAAAACGCCCCCAAGCCAAGCCCTTCTCGCCAAACCCTCCCGATAGCAGCTCCGCATCCGCGGGGGATGCATAGGGGGATGATGCGGGGGCCCCAGCTCGGCCCCGCAACCGGGAGGGGACTCTCCCGGCCTAAGATGGGGGTGATTTCCGAGGGATAAAGCCGGGTGACAGCACCTTGGTGCCTCTCGCTCTCTCCCTGGCAAGAAGCTCACACCTCTATTTATGACAGGCGGGCTGGTGCCAGGCACCCTCGTGATAAAAATAAGTCGAGGAATCAGAGGGCGAAAGGGTCCCTTTGCTGGCAGGCAGATGCCTAAAACCGGCTGAGGGGAGAAAAAACCCTTTCCTCCAGGATGGGAACTGTGTTTTTTTCCCCCTGAGCAACGGGGCTGGAGCAGCAGTGGGGAAAGCCCTGTAGTCCAGGGGAAATAAAAAAGAAAAGGCAATTTCTGGGCAGCCAGTGGGACATCTCGCGTGTCATCCTTAAGATATTAAAACAACAAACTCGGCTTTCCAGGTCTGGGAAAGCTTCTAGGGGAAAGTATTGGAGAGCTGAGGTTGTAAAAAGAGTTTATGGGCCTATGAAATGGTGGGAATTTTGACTTTTTATGACTATGTTCTTAGATTACTGCTAGTAGCAGTCATGTGGATAATTATTATTTTAAACCCATTGCTACAGTTTTATTTACTGAAACTTTTATGTGAGAACAGCAGCAAAAGAAAAGGAAATGACCCCTCCAAAATAAACAGATTAAACTCTTCTGAAGGTCACTTAAAATATTTAGGTAAGATCTGCTAATTAAACAGGTTTCTTTCTCTAGATACACAGGGCGTGGAGGGGGGAGGGAAGAAAGGCCAGCTGTATACATTGATTTTTTTTTTTCCACCCCCCAAAAATATCAAAATCTTCTTTCTCAGACAATCCCGTCGCAAATTGGATTCATGCGCGCTCCACGAGGAAGAAAAGATGTCCTTACACAAAGTATCAGACCCTGGAACTGGAAAAAGAGTTTTTATTCAATATGTACCTTACACGGGACCGAAGGTACGAAGTAGCCAGAGTCCTTAATCTCACTGAACGCCAAGTCAAAATCTGGTTTCAGAACAGGCGAATGAAAATGAAGAAAATGAATAAAGAAAAAACCGATAAAGAACAGCAATAAAGTTGGCAAAGTCCAGTCAATGAGAAACGAGGGTGGAGAGAAAGAAAGAAAAAAAAAAAAAAAAAAGAAAAAAAGGAGAGAAAAAGAAAAGAAAATAAAAAAGAGGCTGGTTTTGGGGGTTGAAATATTTCTGACTTTGAATGTGCGGATGAATGTTTTAGCGTTATAGGCAAACACAGCAAGCGTTTGGGGACACGAGTCTTTTCTAAAATGCAACTAAATAAAAGAGAGATTGGGGGGGGGGTGTTTTCTCTTCCTTTCTTCTTCCTTGTTTTGTCCTCCTCAGAAAACAAACACAAGAAGTACTTGAATTTTTTTGTTGTTGCTGTTTTTAGTATTTTATTTCATAAATTAAACTTATCCAGTATTTTTATTTTTTAATTCCGCGAGCTCGCGAGTGAATATTTTGTACAAAAGAGAGGAAAAAAGAGACAAAAAAAAGAAAAAAAAAAGACAAAAAAAAAAAAGACTGAAGGGATTATGGCTCGATGATGTTCTGTCATGGTGTTGAACGTTTCTGCTGTACTTATTTGTGTATTTTATTCTCGTCTCAGAACCGTTCTGTAATATTGTTATGTTCGCTATTGTAGAGCAGCTCTATGTAAATATACCTAACGTCACGGGGAAAGACAAAAAAAAAACACAACAAAGAGAGAAACAAACAAAAAAAATCAGTATTTAGGTGTCTTTTTCTTTAAAGCCCTTTGCAAAGGAGCAGCCCCAGGGCTTTGCCGGTGCCGGTGTCGGTGCCGGTGCCTCGGCGGGGAGGACCCGAGCATCCCCCGCAGCCGAGAGCGGAGCTTTCTGCTTCCTTCCCCAGCCCTTTTCTATTTCAAAGTAGCATAATAAAAAGGCGCTGAGGTAAGGGTTATATGTGCCATCAATTTTGAGATTGAGATAATTAATTGTACTAATTTATGACCCCAGGCAATCGAAGGATATGTAAAAAGACTAAATATGGATGCTGGGAATAGAGGAGCTTGGCAAAGGATCCGCTCGCTGCCATCCGCTCAAGGGGGAGCTTCTGCCTTATCGATGGGGCTGCCAAAACTTGGAAGGTTGCTGGAAGTGCTGCTTCTCACAAGACAGCTCAGGAGAAGGGGAAGAAAGAAATGTTTGCGGTGGAGAATGGGGGAAAAAAAGAAGTGCCTGGGGTGGAGAAAGGCTTGTGGGGGGGGGAGAGAAAAAGCAAGAGGGTAAAGAAATAAATGTGTAGTGGCTATGCGGCAGACTGCAGATTAAAAAATGTACATATATATGTATATATATATATAAAAAAAAAAGAAAAACAGGGGTCCGGGGCGAGGGGGGAGAGAGACAAAGCCCCCCCCCCCTCCCCCTTCACCCTACAAGGGCAGATTAAAAAGAAGAGGGGGGGAGAAAAGGGTTGTTGGCTGCGGAAAGGTCAACACATTCCCCCCCCCCCCCCTCCTCCCCGTCCTGCCAGGGCGAGATGGGTCTGGTGCTGCAGAGGCGAGAAACCGCTGCCCACAGCGCAGGGAGCAGGAATTTATCACTGGCTCCTTCTCTGGGCGCTTTCCAGGCTGCTGAATGAGAAACAAGAGGCAGGAGATTGTATAAAAAATGAGCAGCGAGGGATGTTTAATCATAAAAACTTGTTATAGGTCCCTTTCTTTAATGAAATGAGTGGAGCAGCGTTTTAATCTTTCTAATCAAAACCAGATCAGGCGAGCGAGATACGTTTGTCGCCCTCGTCCCGGTTCCTCCGAAATCAAAAAATCTGGAAGCGATTACTTGTGGTGATCTCATAAAATATTGCTCTTTAATATTTCTTGCTGAAGCGTTTGGAGGTTCTTTCCCTTGCCCTGATTTGTGTCCTCGCTTCTAAACCGGGGTCTATTTTTTGTCACCGGAGGGGGACAGGCACACCGCGGTCTGTCCGCGGAGACATCCCTGGAGCAGGGGAAGCTCAAAAGCCCTTTTACAATCCCAGTTTTGTGCTAGGTCTGTTCGGGAAAACGTTAACGAGCGCAATGAAATGGTCAGGTTAGAAAACATTTTAGCAGAGAGGAAGATTTATGGGCCGAAGGAAAAAAGAAAAAGAAAAGGGAAGGGGGAAATCTTTCCATCTAAGTCATGTCATTTTAATTTTTTAAATTATTATTATTATTATTCCTCCCGTCTGCTTCTCTCCCTTCCTTCATCCCGCCTCAAATAAAGGATAAAACCCTGCAGGGTTGGGAAGCGGCTCGCCAATGTCCTCTTCGCGAGAGGGGAGAAATCTCCCCGCTTTATCGTTATTAAGTAAGAGGAAAATAAGCCCCTAAACAACAAAACAGCATCCCGATCATCCTTCGGACAGGACTTTGGAGGCAGTTTTGGACCCGTCTCTCTGGAGGGGCTTGTCAGGAACGTTTAGTGATGTTGAAAAGACATGATGTATGGAAGTTCATTTTGGCCCCCCTTTCATTCAAGCGGATCTCATTTCCAGTGCGACCACAGCCTGCTCCCTCCCCCTGACCCCCCTCTTTCCCTCCCCAGTCCCCCCTTTCCTCCCCAGCCCCTCTTCCCCCCCCTCCCTCGACCCTCTCCCTCCCTGCCGCAGCCCTCTCCCCGGCCGGACCCCCCTTAGCGCCGGCGGGCAGCGGAGGAGATGCCCCTTTGTCTCCACCGAGCTGCTGGTTGGGGCTTTCTTTTGTTGGTGGTGGGTTGGGTTGGGTTAAAATCCTGCCGCAGTTTTAGTTCATGTGCAAGGCCCCCGGTATCCTCACACCACCCCCCCTCCGTCCCGTCCCCCGGTGAAGGGTTACACCAGTTATAAAATGCCATTTGGCCATGCTGGGAGGCTATGCTGGTGCGGCTCAGCCATTGAATTTCTCCTCCATAGGAGCCAGAAGAGAAGGGGGAAAAAAAAAAATAATCCCCAAACGCCTTTAGTGTGGCTCAAAATAAATAATAATAATTTTAAGAGAAAAAAAAAGAAAGATCCTGCGGCTTGCACCCGGCAGCACGCCCTGTGGCCAGCCTTTCCCTGGATTAATGTATCAAAATGCTCCAATTTCGGCATTCTTTGACATATGGCGCGTGTGTGCAGACGCATACTGATACAGCTATTGTGTGCCGGCGCTTGTGACCATGCACATCTCTTTCTGCTTGGGGAGAGATGCGCTTATAGCTCTCGGAGGGAATAAAGAAAAAGTAATTAATAACATATATATATATATATAGGGGTGAATATAAGGCTCTGGGGGTGTTTCGTGGCGGGGTGTGTGTGCGCCTGGTTTCTAATCTACCCTTTTGTAAGGCTCACAAAACCGACAGGACTCTACAGCTGTCCATAGGTACATTTCCGCAGCCAAAAAAATGCCACTTTTACAACTCTGTTTGTCTCCCTGCTATGCGGGGCTGAATAGGAGCGAACAAAACAGGACCCTAGATCTGGCTAGACGTCTGGCTTTAATTGCTTTATGGTTTAAATAAGGTGGGTGCTCTTCTCTTTGAAACCGGATTATTGGAATGTTTTGTCTACAAGCTACAAACAACAGACCCCCCTCGGACAAGGGGAGGTAAAAAAGAAAAAAAAACACAGAAAAAAAAACCAAACCCAAACCCAAAACACCCACCAAAAAAAAAAAAAACCCACCCAAAAAGGAAAATCAAACCCCAACTCGAAGCTAAAACTGATAAAAACGGAGGTTGGAGGTGGGGGATGTGACACATCTGGTGGGTTTGTTTGGTCCAGCTTGTGTGCGCTGTTAGATTTGTCATTTTTATGGGTGAGGGGGAGAAAATAGATATACAGGGAGGAAAATGGCTTTTTTAATATAAATATTACATATATATTTGGCAGGAAAAATCCTGCCCGTGCTCGGTGTTTCTATAGGGGTGACCGCTCCTGGAGCTCCCCCACACCCCCAAAACCTCCGGTAAAGGATTACGGTTTATAAGGCACCGTGGGGGCCGGTGGGTGCACCCCCTCCCCAGGCCCGCACCCGCGGCGTTGCGCCCCGGCGCGGCCACGAGATGGCGCTGTTGCCCAATGATAGCGCGGGGCTGCGCGCAGCTGGAAGCGCCCCGCGGCTCCCCCCCCCCCCGCTCCGCACCCGCGGACGGGGCTCCGCGCCCGGGGATGGAAGAAGGGGACACGGAACTACCTAACACCCCCCCCTCTACGCGCACACTCCGCACTGTGCTGAACCCCATCATAAAATCGCTTCTTCTTCAATAGCATATTTTATCCGCGGGCAGCGCGGAGCAGCGCTCAGGGCTGACATCTCACGGCGCGGGGAGGGCATAAATGCATAAAAAATGCTTGCACAGAGAAATCGCCTGTTTTGAAGTGGTTGTGAGCTTTAGCGCTTTCCCCCCTCTCTTTCTGTCTCTTTATTTACGCACGTCACGTCTCTCTCCCAAACCTCCTCATTTTGGGGTGGGGAAGGAGGGAATGACATTTCCCAGTGAAGGTCAGGGCAAAGGGGGGGGGGGGGGGGGGGGAATAAACTCGTGAGGGTACAATGAAACACCTAAAAGTACAATATAACCACCCCGATAAAGCAGCATTGGAGCGCATGCACCGGCAAGACACATCACCCCCCCCTCCATCCCCACATCTAAACACGGCCAAAACAGTAAAGACAAAGAGCAGCACTTTCCCCAGACAGTAAATGTCAAAATATTTTCCTTAAAAAGAAGCAGGCGATTGCATATATCTTATTTCATGCAATCTGGAAGGGGGTGGTGGGTCCTTTCTTTCACAGACACCGAAGGCAAATATTTATTTCTCAGCCTAAGGTAGGATTCGGAAAGATTCTCTGCACCTTCGCTGACTGCATCCAGGGATAACGATTGGAAAAATACAGCAGTTTTTCCCAATCCCAGCCCAAACTGCCCTTATCTCACAACTTTACTCGGCTATTTTTTTGCACTTCCATTTGCACGGCTGCCTTTATTGCACGGGAAGGCACTGGGATTTTAAAAATAGAAATGCTATTGATTAGAGGAGGAAAATGCTTCAGCTCGATTATTAGCTGTTAATTAAAGAGTCTCTATCCCTACTTGCTCTTTTATTGGGTTTGGGGGGATTTCCTAGGGGAAGGGTAACCTGGGGAAGGGGGCATGAGATGGGTGAGCTCTGTAAAAATGAATATGGCCATCATGCCGTCCTTGGGATTATTGGGGTATGAAGGCTGTTTCTTCACAGCAAACGCAGCTTGATTTTAAGCAGTATTTTCACAATAGGCAGTGGAAAAATCACTGTTCTGCATCGCTCATTGTCTGCTTACGGGGAGGGAAAAACACACTACACGTTGCCTTTCCAAATGGAAAAATACACCCTCGAATCACGAAAATCTAACTGGGGACTGAGTGGCTGCTGGGTCTTTTCCTCTACTTGGGAAGGTGTCTGCAAAAAAAAAAAAAGGAGGAAATAAAATACAAGTTTCAACCTCACCAAAGGTTTGAACCACTCCATGCCTCAAAAAAAAAAGCGAGAATGTGACCTTTGCTGGGCAGAAAAACACCTCAAACCAGCCTGGCGAGGGGAGCTGGGATGGTCTTTTCCTCCCTCCACACTTGAAATCGGTCAGAGTCACCCAGGTCTCTTCTGAAAACAATTAGGCTGGGTGGGTTTTCTTGGTGGAAGAACATGAGGGAAAGATTTGGAGGTCTGCAGACTTTGGAAGGAAACACGGGGGACTGTTAAGAGCACGGTGTCATTCGGGGGGTTTGATCCATTTTTGCGGCTCTTCAGAAAATAGCCATTTCCGAAGTGCGTGTGTCTCCTCCTCCCCCCCCCCCCCCCCCGCCCCGAAAAATTAACACGAATCCTGGTGATTTGATGTGATTTTTTAATGAGCTGACTTCCTTCATGCAGTCGTAACAAAAAAAAATGAAGTGTCCGAAGTGAAAGGCTGCAGTGAGTGGTCACTTAGAGTGCAAAAAGTGGGGGCGAGGGGCACAAATGCCACTGGCAATGGGAAAAGATGGGGGGAAAAAATCACTCTGTGGGGTAGCGAAACGGTAAAAAGAAATAAAGAAGCTCGGTGGTGATATTTTACAGGCATGCACAAAAGGGAGTACATACTTTCTGTCTCACTTTGCCTCTCTTTTCGTCCAAAGTAGCTCTCTTTAAGCAATGGTCTACTTTATTCCCTTGGAAGGACGCTTCCCTGCTATTTCCAGCCGTGGATTTTCAGTGGTTGGTTTGAAAGGAAGCAAGGGGAGGAATAAATAAATAAATAAATAAAATAACAAATAACTCCCCATAATTTTCTGCCTTTATTTTCTTTAAAGAAGGACAGCCAAGGAGCAGCCAATCAATACGGAGACGTTTCCCTCGCCCGCTCGCTCCCCGTTTTGCTTTTGTTTGCTTGTTTGAGTCCAATCTGGCAACCACCATCACCACAATAACAACAACACACGCACCCCCCTACCCAAAGGAAGCCGGATAAATAAAGGAAGAAGCTGGGCTCAGCGACTCCAGGCACACCAAATACCCCCCTCCTTCCCCTTTCTACCCCCCCCCCCCCAGGTGGGACCAAACCCACCCTCTCACCCCCCCCCCAACCCCCAAACCCCAACACAATGACAACAACAACAACACCAGGGGTACCCTCACCATCCTCCCTGGCTATGGGGTGACCCCATGGGAGGCGGGGCTGAGCACTACAAGAAGCTCACCCCGAATTATTGTTTGGGGGGGGGTGGAGGGTGGTGATGGGGAGGGCAAAGGGGGGGCTGCTTGGGCTCCCTTTACCTGTTGAGGTTACCTAGGCTGACCTCCCAGCGCATGTATTTGCTGCCATCAGTGAAGAGGCTGCTGCTGGGAAAAAAAGAAAGGGGGGGGGGGGGGTGCGTATGTTTGATATTAATGCGCACCTTCACCCTCCTCTAGTCATTAGGTGTGGGCCCCCACCTCTTTAGAGGGTTGTGTGGGTGTCGTCGTCCCGTCCCCGTCCCCCCCTCCTTGCGGTATACACCTCCTTTGCTTCATACATACACCATCATCACCACCACCCCCAAAGCAAAGCGCCCCAAAACGCTGTCATTTGGCTGCAGGCTGTCTCGGCGTGGCGGAGGGATGTGTACATCTCGTGTGTGAGGGGAGAGAGGAGGGGAAAGGAAAAAAAAAAAAAAGAAAAAGAAGAAGAAGAAGGAGGAAAAAAAAAAAAAAAAGCCGGGAAAAAAAAAAAAAAAAAGCCACACCACCGGGATTTTGAGGAATTTGCCTGTGGTGTTAAAGGGAAGGAGCAGAGTTACAGAGAAATTGAGAGAGAGAGAGAGCTCTACCTACCGACAGATTACAAGAGAAGTCAAGAGCACCGCGAACCAAGCGTACAGACACACAGAGGCACCATGAAACGCCTTTGAGATCGCATTAAAACCAAAAAAAAAAAAAAAACCAACCAAAAAAAAACCAAAAAAAAAAAAAAGCCACTAAAAAGCAGGACTTGAGACAGTCCAGGGACAACCTCGCTCTAATCTCGAATTAAAGCGTCTTTTTTTTTTTTTTTTGTAAATATATCTTTTTTTTTTTCTCTCTTTTCTTTTTTTTTTTTTTTTTTTTTTTTTGCATGCGAGGGTCATGAGTTCCTACTTTGTAAATCCTCTTTTTTCCAAGTACAAAGGCGGTGAATCGCTGGAGCCAACTTACTACGACTGCAGATTTCCACAAAGTGTTAGCAGGAGCCATGCTCTCGTATATGGTCCGGGCACTACTGCTCCCACCTTCCAGCACCCTTCACACCACGTCCAAGAGTTTTTCCACCACGGAACCTCCAGCATCTCCAACTCTGGATACCAGCAAAACCCATGCGCCTTGGCGTGTCACGGAGACGCTTCTAAATTCTATGGATATGAAGCTCTACCGAGGCAATCGCTTTATGGTGCTCAGCAAGAGACGACTGTTGTACAATATCCTGACTGTAAATCGTCTTCCAACAGTAACTCTAGCGAGGGACAAGGGCATTTAAATCAAAATTCGTCTCCCAGTCTCATGTTCCCATGGATGAGACCTCACGGTTAGGACCTTTTTTTCCTCCTCCTTAAATGTTTTCCTTTATTTTTCTCTCTTTCTCTCTGTCTCTCTCTCTTCTCTCTGTCTGTCTATATATATATATATATGTATGCATATAGAAGCACAAACATATGCATAGCTATATAAACATGCACACACACATATGCATACATATATATATAAAAGAATCTCTATATAAGAGGCATAGATGTAAAATATGAAAGAAATGAGCAGTTTTGTGCTAATGTTTCTTCTTTTTAGGAAGACCTTTGAGAGCAAACACGACAGCAGTTACTAGAGAGCCAGCAAGGTGATTCCCTGCAAAAGGCTTAAATCACAATAAAGTAAAACTTGTTTTTTATTGCTTGCCTTGAGGATAGGCAATAAGATACAGCTCCCACGAGGTTGTTTGCATGTTGATAATACACTGCTCTTTAAAATGTCATATAGCCTTTCATAACCGCTTGGAGACGAAGCCTGAAAGGTGGGAACTTGTATAAGTATTACTAATACTTTACATCTGTTTCGTAGAGCCTAGAGATAAAAGTTTAAACAGAAAAGGAAACTTAGCTCGGAGCTATGGGGTGGGGTGGAGGAGAGCAGGCTGCTGTCCTGGGTTAAGAAAGAAGAAGGGGGTGGGAAATTCAAAATAATTCGTGCTGAATGGAACTTTGCTCATGTGAAGTCCAGATAATTGCACAGAAAGCGAAATACTTCAAAGTACAAGTTTCCCCCAGCTAAGGACCAAGGTTGTCTCGAAGCCTTCTTAATTCAAAACATGTGAAGGTTAGTGTTAATTTTAAGGACAATCAGAGCCCCAAAGTGGTTCCTTTCCCCTACCCCCACGCGAATTTAACAACAACAAGGAAAGCAAATAGAAAGGACTCCTGGCTAATGCAGAGAGGATGTGGCCCACAGGCTGGGAGATAGACGCAGAGGAAAACATGCTTTGACCTAGAGGTAGTCTCAAGGATGCAATCATTTCAAACTGGAGCTTTTCCCTTTTTCTTTCGCAAATAGATTGGTTTTCTCATTAAGAAAGGTCGGTGCAGAAGGAAGTGCAGGGACTCAGCTGCCTATACCTCTGTCCTCTTCCTTGCTTTTTTTTTTGGGGGGGGGGGGGGGGGAAGGCTATTGCTGCAAATGACCATCTCGAGTTGGTTTAAAATACAGTCTCTGTGTTTGCACAGGCAAATACCCATCTCTGTCTGTGTGTGCTTTACAACCACACAGCCCTAAACGAAGGGACGGGGAGTTAATAGGAAATTCGGAGTCTAAGGTTGTAAATATTAGGAAACAGAAGGATCCTGAGCCTGTGTTTTGGGAAGAATATTTGGAAAAGCAATCCAGAATTGGGCATTTTGAGGGGAAAAGAGAGAAAGAGAGGGAGAGAGGAAGGAAGAAAGGAAGAGTGGGGGAGAAAGGAGAGAAAGGGAGCAAGGTAAAGAAAGAAAGAAGGACAGAGACAGAGAGAAAGACAGGAAGAAAGAAAGAGAGAGAAAGAAATAGTTGAGAGATTAAAAATAAAGAATTAAGAAAAAAGGAAGTAAAGAAAAGGAAGAAAGGAATAAAGAAGGAAATAACAGGAAGAAAGAAAAAACAATGGGGAACAGGAGAAAGCCTGGAGAAGGTTTTATGGTGAACAATGCACCTTTCCTAGGAAAATAGTTATTTTTCATGGAGTGGAGCTGCCCACCAGGACTCCCCACCTAGAACCACCTTTTAGGAAGCTGGAAAGGTCTCTTTTGTGCATGAGCTTGACACACACCTCCCTGCACCCAGCCAGGCAGCCAGAGCTTAGCGCTCCCCAGGACAGCCAGGCAGGGCAGCTGGCTCTCAGTATCAACAGCAATATCAGCCCAATGGTTATTAATAATAACCCAGCCACTTTCCTTTCTCTCCTTTAATATGCAAAGGGTTGAAAAGGCCTTTTTTTGTGGAGAGAGGCAGTAGTTTCTGTAGGAAAATTGAGGCTAGGGGCTGGGGTTTGGGGGGGGGGGGGGGGGAACAGAGCCTCCAAAGCAGGAGAATTAAGAAGTTATCTGATGTTTGTGTCCTACAGCTCCCGGAAGACGCAGTGGCAGACAAACTTACAGCCGGTACCAGACCCTGGAGTTAGAAAAGGAGTTCCTCTTCAACCCGTATTTGACACGGAAGCGGCGGATTGAGGTCTCTCACGCCCTGGGACTGACCGAGAGACAAGTGAAGATCTGGTTCCAGAACAGGAGGATGAAGTGGAAAAAAGAAAACAACAAAGATAAGCTGCCGGGGGCCAGGGACGAGGAGAAAACGGAAGAAGAAGGGAATGAAGAAGAGGAAAAAGAAGAGGAGGAAAAAGAAGAAAGCAAGGACTGAGTTCTCAGCCCCTTGAAGTCTCGTTTTATGGCAGATGATAAATCGAGATGTTTACGACGGTCATTTGCTTTTATAGAGTATAGAATGGAGAGGCTCACACAGCAGTAACTACCTGTCAAACAGTTGTAGCCTTTTTTATTGTCATAGAAACTTCCCCTACTTTACCCCCCCCCCTTTTTTTTCTTTTTCTTTTTAATAGCTGCGTTTTTAGCTCAATAAATACATAGTTGGCTTGACTGCAAGAGCAGGGAGGGAAGAAAACGTAAAAAAATTAAGAATGAAATGATCCAGCTGAGCAAAACCATCCCCAACCCCCAGCAGCCCTAAACCCTGCAAGCAAATGTCACTGCTCGTCCCTTGCTCCCTCCGCTCCCGCCTGCGAGGCTGCACACATGGGTGGGTGCAGAATATGTATTTATTTGAACGGCTTTGACTTTGTCTATATTTTTGGGGGGGGGGGGGGGAAGAACTTTTTTAAGCTTGGTTTTGCCTCTCCCGAATGACCCTAGGGGAAGTGCGAGGGTGCTTCCAGCTTCCTTAGCTTGTTTGTGTAGTGTCTGTCTATCTGTGGAGATCTCCATTCCTACCAGCCATTTATCAATCCCCTCGGAGGGGCCAGTCCTGCAGCCCCTGCTAGATAAGAAGAGCAGCTTGGAGGGTGAGCATACCTGGCAGCGCCCTCAAACACACCCCCCGCCTCACCAGCCCCCCCATTCCTATAGGATTGAGGCTTGTATATACCTTGATAGGCCAAAAGACGCAACCCACCTCCTTCCTTATTTCTATAGGCGCTGTTTACCCTTTGCCTGTGTGAGCACTCGAAATTCTTCATGTACTACCTAAAGGGAAAACCTGCAATAATTATCGAATCTACTATCAACAAGGGGCTTACGCATCCTAAATTTTACTTGGTCAGAATTTATTTAAGAGAGAGCGAGCTGTGGTTTTGCCCTGATGCAAGCTACTAAGTAGCATAAAAGAATAATAAAAATACAATAATAATAATAAGTAAATACAAAAAAAAAAATCTCAACCAACCTTGTATTGTACTTTATCACTACCTATAGAAGGAGTCATGCTTTGGAAGTATTTGTAATGCGGTTTTCTTGTCGTTTGTTGCTGCTTATTTTCTTGGAAAAAAAAAAATAATAATAAAAAAAAAAATCCCAACAACTGAAACTGCCTAGTTGAGAACGCACAGTATTGTATTATTTTATTGTGCTTATAAAGTAGTGTAGAACTAAATTGCACTGAATGTATAGTTATCTATTTGTCTTGACTTATCTGTTAATGCAACATGCTCGAAACACACAAAAAAAATCCCTCGTCATTTGTTTTATGTAAAAGCATAGTTCTGCGTGTTCAAACTCTGAATGTAGCAATTACCGCCAGGAAATAAAAAAAAAAAAAGAAAAATAATAAAAAAAATACCCAACCTCTGGACACCGTGGATTTGTATTGTATACGTGAGACATTACGTAAATAATAATAATTATAATAATAAGAATAATAAAAGGATTTTAAAAGGACTGCGTTGCCTCCAGTGCTATGTCTCTATTTCGAAGCACCCACACGTACCCATCGCTCAGAGTGGGCTCTGACGAATAGTTCATCCTTGGAATCATCGTTGGCACGCTTCAAAACCCAAGGCTCATCTTTTATTTGAGAGGAAATCAGAATATCTTGGCTCAAGCACCAGCGGAGGTGGCTGGGGCGGGATGGGGGGGCAGGATTCCCCGGCCAGAGCCTGAGCGGGGCAAAAAGAAAGCCCTCCTTAAACCCTGCTGCTAATTGTGTGTCTGAAGCTGTAGGTCCGCTAAGAAAACACGAATAAAATCATATATTGCAAAGACTCCGGAGCTGTGAAGTGTTTCTTGGCTGCGGGAGAGGTTTCTTTGTGGGGTGGAAAAAGGGGGACGGGGGGTGCGTTGGGTTTCTACTGGGAATTGCAAACCCCACACTGGTTCTAGGGTGCAGGAAAACCCCTTCCTTAAGGGTTGGGAGGAGGAGACGTCGTTTCCCACCCCCCCCCTCCACCCGGTTTCTAAGGACAATCCGGCGGTCGTCCGCGGGAGGTGGCGAGGCTGGAGGGATGCGGGATGCACAGAAACCCACCCGCACCCGCGGAAGAGTGCGGGGCACTGGGGGGTCGGGGGCAACGCAGTCCGGGGGGAAAACAGCCCCAAACTCGCCTTCAAGAAATTAAAGTTGGCAAGGAAACAGCGTAATCCTTTCTATTTTTCTTCCCCAGGTGTAAAGTCCCTTTTCCTCTCCCCCCAAATTCCCACCTTCTTCCCCATGGACACCATCCCTAAAACCCACGTCCTTTTCTTTTACGACTACTACTATTACTGCTAGTACTACGGCTACTGCTATTATTATTATTAATAATAACAATATATTTTGTTGTATTATACTGTATATGATATGCTATGATGTTATATCTTATAATCTTACATCATATCATACTCTACCCTATTATATCCTATCCTATGACATGATATCATATCATACTTTATCATATTGTATTATATTGTATCATGCTGTATTACATTTAGAGCAAAACCTGGCTTGATGCCTTCAGGTCTCTCTTCTGCACCTCGGATGGGAGATAAACTTTCTAATTATTTCTCTCCCCACCAGCTTCATTTCCCTGAGCGAGGTCTATTGATCTGTAAAACCCAGTCTACCCCTTTTTCTTTCTAACCCCCCTCTGCTGATAAACCTCGAGACCAGGGATGCAGAAGGAGAGGGGATGTTTACCCAGATATTGCAGATAAGGGAGCTCAAGGCTCCTCGCACGCAGCCTGGTGCGCGGAGCTGTGTCTGGAGGCTCCTCCGTGGGCTTCAGACATTCTTAACCCAAACCCCACTAAGCTTAAAGGATTTAAATGCCTCGGGGCTTGAAATTGCTGGACGCTGCCCAGGAGAGCTGGGGAAAAAGATGAAAGAAAAAAAACAAACCCCAACAACAAAAAAAAAACCCCAAACCACAACAAAATAAGACGACGAAAATTAATAATAATGAAAATTAAATGGAAAAATAATAGAAATTTTAAAATAAATGCGCAGAAGGAGGGCTTACAGCGCGCAGGAAAACGAGACTCGGGTGGGCTTTCACCCTTTTATTCACTCCCCCCCCCCATCTGCAGCGCCCTGCGATGCCAGGGGGAAAAGGGGATTGGAGAGGTGGGGGATGCACCGCAAATGGCATCAGCGGGGTCGGATCCTGCTCGGGGATGCAGCTCCCGTGGGTGCCCACTCCCGAATTGCACAAAACACCCCAAGGCGGGCAGAATTCCCAGGGGTGCAGAGCCTGTTATGGCTCCGCGAACCCACTTTCATCCCCCAGAAATACATAAAAATAACCAGCAATAAGGTTTATTCTAGACTTTTCCATGTCGAGGGCAGGCACGGAAGGTAAGCGGGTTTATTAGTCATAAAATCGGTATATTCTACCAAAGCTTTTTATTTGTAGGGAATATTTACCCCGATTTTACAACAAGAGGGTTTTTTCCCCCCCTCTCCTCATAGGATGGATATATGCTCCTTCATTCCAACGATGCGAAAAATTGCAGAAATCAATGAAAATAAAATATTTTCTGTTATGTTACTATATAAAAATTAAAAAAAAAAAGGATCGGGATAAAAGATTCCTCCCAAGGAGGGGGGGGGGAGGGGGGGGAGCGGGGGGAGGAGAGGGAGAAGTTATCGAAGTGTTTAAAAATACTAATAATAATAAAAAAAAAGAAGCTGCATCCGCACTCTATCCATCATATTTAAATCCACAAATCTAAGTAGTTTTATCGGAACGAATACTACGGAATGACATTTATCTATCAAAAGGGTCTGGAGTTAAATTATTGAAACTACAGCGGCAGCAGTTAGTTTTGGGGTAAATGTTTATGCTCTGTAGTCAACACAAGAGAGTCGCATCTTCAGATGACATCCAGTTATTTCTGTAATCACTCCATCATTTGCAGAGAAAAAGAGAAGAGACCATTTTATGGGGGAAAGTAATTTGAAAGAAGATTCGCTCTCCACAAAGTGGCTTATTCAGAAATGATCATAGCTTCGGTATTACTGAAATTAGACTCATCTACCCGCCTGAAGTAAGAAATATCGTCCTATTCCAGGCTTTTTATTAGCCAATCAAATTTCCTTCGGATCTCCATTTGTGATTTGTGAAAAATATAATTCCTCGAAAAGCTGAGTTTGAGCATATTGCTTATTTTCCCTTAATTTATTATTCTAATCACAGCCGCCGCCGCGCGATAATGCAGCCATTAGGCGAAAAAATTCGTTTAGATTTTATACTCCGAAATGGGCACGGATTATATTTGAGAGACAACGAATTTCTCGGGCATTAAATTTTTGGGGGGTATTGCGCTGGTGGAGGCGAGGAAGGAGGGAGTGGAGGAAGATGCGCGGGGACAGAGGTGGGGGAAACTTTGTGAGCTGGATTTGTAACACAAAAGGCAATTTTCTCCTATCCTATATATATATATCTTTAATGTCGTCCTATTTTTCCTCCCGGTCTTCCCCCCTCCCTCGAATCCAAACCTATTTTACCCCCCCCCCCAATAACCTCGCTAATATCAGGGAGGCTGTTTTATAGAGGGGGTTTGGGGGGGGGGGGGGCGAAACGAACATCCCAAACCCTCCCTTAGCAAATGTGCGCCCAGGTTACTTTCTGCCTGCCAGGATCAAAATTTCCTCTTCACATTATGGAATTTATTATCTTGTCTGCTCGCTGGAAAATGGGATCTCCATTGTGTTTGGGAAGCTGTTGTGGTCGTAGTTTCCCCCCTCGTAACTTTTAACTACCTGTTATAAAATTTATTGGTGGTTTGTAAAGTGAATAAAGTAATTTCCCTTCCATCCGGTTGTATTACAACCTTTGTGTTGTTTGGGCAGACAGACACGCATCCAGCCAGGGGCAGAAAAAATAGATAAATTAAAGAGGCAGGGAGTGAGTCCCCCCCCCTTCCACCTCCCCCTTTTGGTTTATTTTCCTCAATTAAAATGAAATTAAGGCGTGGAAATACCTGCAAATAATGGTTCTGTGTGTGGAAAAGAGCGGGCAAAATGCGGTAAAATCTATTTCCCTGAATGCGGGAGCGCAGCCCTAGGAGCTGATATTTCGGGATGGGGAGGGGTGTGGGGGAAAATAAAGATATCCCTCTCTTTGCAGAAGGAGAAGAGGAGCAGCAAGGCTCCTCGCAGGGTTTGGTGTGGAGGAGCCCATCTGAGTAGGCTGGGCTCTGCGGTTGCCTCTTTCCCCCAGTTGTGGTTCGCGGGGGGCCTCCAAAAGCAGGCCTCTACACGGTGGAAAAATGTCGCTTCCCTTCCAAATCCATATTTTCCAGCCGTCTACAGGGCCCCCTCCCTCGGCTTGGGGTGGGGAGTGGGCAAAAATCAAGATGGTCAAAATCAAAATAGAATCAAATCAAATTCCGCCTTTTAGCATCGCATCCCCGACACGGTGGCATGGGAAAACAAAAGGCGGGGGGGGGGTGGGGGGGGGGTGTTTGCTGGAGGCAAAAAATAGCATGGAAAACCAAGATTGAAATGCTGGAAAATCGTGGACGTGGGGGTTCCACCGGCAAATCGTAAAGCGGGGTGGGTTGTGGGGGATTTGGTAAAGGGGATGCGAGAGTTTCGGGGTCAATACCGCGCCTCTGGCTCAAGTTTTGGGTGTAATTCGGGCAGTTCCAGGTGCCCCCCCTCAGGGCTGGGGTGGGCAGACGAAGCGTTGCAGGGGGGGGAATGGAGTGGGGCGGGGGGGTTGGAAGGGTATTTGGGGGGGGGACACACGGGACATTTTTTGCCCTGGGACGGTTTCATTTGCAGCGGACACACCCTTTGCAGTGAGGGTCCATCAGGAAAACCCGGGGGGGGGGCTCCAAAATTCCCATTTCCCCTGTTTTTTTTCCCTCGAGCGCATTGTCCTTGATTATTAATTAAATGCTTTTCAAATTAACATGCTCTCCTCATTTAATCTATTCCTTTCTCAAAGCCAGTCTGCTCCAGTTTTACCCCCACTACCCTTATTCCTCGATATTTTCCTATTCCACCCCCCCCCCCAAATTAATTATGAACACGGAGACTAATAATTCTTAGCGCTAAAGGCCAAATCCCATTAGTTAAAGAAAATATAAACGCTGAGAATTAACCTGAGCTGCAAATAATCATCAAAATTAAACCGAATCTATGTTTAAAAGGGCAAAAAAAATCAGACTGCACCCTGCTTTATATTAACGCGGTGGCTTAAAGGATTAAAAAAAGGAGGGGGGGACGGGGAAAAGGCGGGGGGGGGGCTTGGAGGGGGGGGAAAATGGGAATATTAGAAGGGAATTGTATAAACATGGCGACAGACGAGAGCATTTGCACTCGTCACAAAAAAATGCAACGCATTCCTGGTTGTTTGCAGAAAATTTACAGCTGAGCAATAAAAGTTTACGACTGAATCACAAGTTGGATTGGCCACAGGAAGTCATGTGGACTCCATCCATGAACGTGAACTTTT